ATTGTATGATAACATAAATAGATGTGAATTATTTACAAGTTACAGATAATTGCAAAATATTATAACTGGTTGGTGAAGTTGTATACAAAATGGTACTCACTTAACAACCCTAATTGGGACTGGAACTCCGCTGCTAAGCAAAGCAGTCACTAAGTGGGAAATCACGTGACTGTCACTGTGCTTTCTGGCTGGAAAGAGTCAAGACTACACAATTCCACACCTTTGGCTTTTGTTTGCCTCCTAACCACTCCTCCGCCCTTTGGAATGCTCGAGTGCCTGCTTACTGACTTGTACACATCGAAAGCAATTTAATCATGCTGGCAGCCCAGGGCTGGGAACCACGGGTGCGCTACACAAACAGCTTATTCTTTTCAAATCCCTTCTTCTCCAATCTCTCCACTCTGGTGGGAGGGGGGAAGCAAACAATTTCTGTAGGCAATCTCTCCTTTGCCTGACCCTTTCCAGCTTCCAGTGCAATCGCATTGCTTTTGATGCATAGAAGAGCAAACAGCTTACTCTCTTGCAATCCCTTCCTCTCTGATCTCTTTGCTCCACTAAGGGGGGGAAGGGTCATACAAAGGAGAGATTGCCTACAGAAATCACTTGCTTTTTTTCTCCCTCTCTGCTCATAGAGCGGAGAGATTGAAGAGGAAGAGATTTCAACAGACTAAGCTGTTTGCATAGCACACCTGCTGCTCTGAGCCTCAGCACGATTGCATTGCTTTCAGTGGGTAGAAGAGCAAACAGCTTGGTCTCTTGCAATCCCTTCTTCTCCAATCTCTCTGCTCTGCAGTGGGGGGGGGGGAGAAAAAAACACAGGTTAGGCACAGGACAATGAGTACTGACTGAAATGGTAATCATGTGACTGAGGGACACTGCAGAGGTCGTAAATGGTTGTTAATTGGCCATAAAGTTATTTTTTCAGCATTGTTGTAACTTCAAACAGTCGCTGAATGAGTGGTCAGTGAGAACTACCTGTACTTAGTTGACAGGGTTGTTGATACAGTGAGATAATGAAGGGAAGTATGCAAGTCTTCCTGAACTCCTGGAGGAAAGGTGGGATGGTGTAATGGAAGGCATGTGCGAGGAGGATACTGGAATGGAGGATCAAGGTTATCAGGAGAGAGGGGGAGCATTCCTGAGCAAGCGCTTCTTCAGCCCGCAGCAGGACTGTGAAAAGGTGAAGAAGCTGAGACTGGCCCGTCCCTAGAGTCTCATGGGGTATAGCCACTAGTTGCTTTAGCATAGGTTTAGTCTGGCGAGACTTTGTCTATTAGGTGCAAGCTAATAAAAGAACTGGACTGGACTGCCTCGTTGTTGTTCTTGGGCTGGGCCTGACAGGTGGAGATCTAACAGACACTGTCTGTTATATATGGGCCTATAAATCCTGTTTTTTCCTGTACAAAAGAGTTGTTTTTTTGTCTTGCTTTTGTACTCTTCCTTTACATTAAACTAAGGTAAGGCTATATTAAATATAATGATATAGTCATGATACGCTTTAAGGTACATCAAATGGTAGGAATAGATCGTCGCTGTCAGCAGTATGAAGCAGAGTTCTGCTGTACAGATGTGAATTATTTTACTGGTTCCCCAAGGAATCTACTGAGCTGGAAGGTTAATTATAGCAGCAGAAACAAATCAAGGAATGGAGGAATAACTATCAAACTGAAGGAACGTGATGGGCTGGTTTAAATAAGCCAATATGCTCTGATGCCTGCTAACTTTTGATTCTAGTGACTGTATATAAGTCTGCTGTAATTTAAACACCTGTCTATCTGGAATGTGTGAAACGTCCTCGCCCACCACACACTCAACTGTTTACACACCTATTTCAGTGGGAAAGATAGCTTTAAAACAAACAGAATTTTAACAATGGAAAGTAATTTAGAAGGAGAAAGCTGAATTAAGGCATCTTAATGCAGGTTTTTCTTACTGGAAATAGAGGCCTTTATAACCATATCCCAAGACTGTATGCATGCTCAAATGTAAAATGCAGAAAAAAACTGATTTTTCATTCAGAAGTATTGCCAAATGAATACATTTTATGTCTTGAATAATACTATTGTCATGTTTTCAAGAAGCTTAGCATTTCTTGACAAGTGATAAAAGTAAGGAGTTGTGTAAAGCATTGAAATCCCATGTTTTTATTCCTTGGCTTGGACTAAAATAAATACATAATTGTATTTAATATAATACCAATATAAATAGTAATAAAATGAAAAATATTTTTTCCAGGCGCTAAGCGTTGGCAAGTATTGACTTACTCTGCCACAGTAGTGTCTCCAGGTGGTATTTTGCTCTGAATTCTGCTGGCATAAAGGGAGATGAAGATAACTTTTGACAATTCTCTGATAAAGCAGTGGAAGATTGCCTTAATAATATGAAATGAATTTCTTTTTATTTTAAAATGAAGTTAATACATTTTTTTTTAATGTATATTGAACACCTGTGTTTAAAGAGTTGTTTGCAGTTACCTTGTTGTTAAAGATGCAATTCAGGAATTGAAATGTTATCTCACATGGTCTACATTTTGGACTGAAATCAACGGGATAGTTAATGTATTCTTCTTGGGTATGTCTCTAGTATATAGAATTTATGGAGATATCAAGAACACTGGATTCTGGGGTATGAGGACTGGCTAAAAGAATTATTATACAAGACTGGAAGGAGAAATTTATACAGGTAGTCCTCAAGTTACGACTGCAATTGGGACTGGGATTGCTGTCGTAAAATGCAATGTCACGTGACCACATCACTTAGTGATGGCAATCCAGGCAGCCCTGGTTGTTGTTGTAACCCAATATGTGCAGGTTGTTAAGCAGGAAGTGGAGGGAGTCCCAGGTAAGGAGCATGGGGGTGCCACAGGGGGGCAGGGGAGGCCCTGGCAGGCTCAGCATAGGTTGTGCATGAGTTGAGGAAGGGGGTGCTCAGTCCAGTGCGAGCTCAGAAAGCCTGGGGAATGAGGGTGCGGGGTCCATGCAATCACAGGGAGGTCGGGGAAAGAGGGCATGGCACGTGTGCGTGTGAATGCAGGGAGGCTGAGGAAAGAGGGCGCGGGGTACATGTGTGCGATTCTAGGGAGGTCATGGAAAGAGGGTGTAGGGTGCATGTGATTGCAGAGAGGCCGTGGAAAGAGGGTGTGGGGTACGGGCATGTGTGTGGTCACAGGGAGGCCAAGGAAAGAGGGCACGGGGTACATGTGTGCATGTGTGCCATCATAGGGAGGCTATAGAAAGATGGCACAGGGTGTGTGCAATCACAGGAAGGCTGGGGAAGGAGGGTGCAGGGTGTGTGCAAGGGAAGGAGGGTACAGTGTGTATGAGTAAAGAAAGGCTGGTGGGGGGGAGACTTATCCCAGCAACTTGTGACCTTCCTTGCCAGCTTCGCATTAACTTTATTTGGGGGAAGCTGGCAGGGAAGGTCACAAATGGCAATCATGTAACTGCAGATCACTGCAACTGGTCGTAAGTGCGAACTGGTTGCCAGGCACCCAAATTTTGTTCATGTGATTGCATGGGTGCTACAACGGCCGGAACTTCAAGTACCAGTTGTAAGAGCCTTTGTTCAGCACTGTTGTAACTTTGAACAGTCACTGAACAAATGGTCGTAACTCGAGGACTATCTGTCCCTGATCAGCAGCCACAGATAGTTGATATGTATCAACTTCTGGATTTGATGGTGGTGGAAACAGGAAGGTTGACTGAGGGGCAAGAAAAGACTTTGGAACAATATTGTCAAAAATGAGTTCTGATTATACCAGTAATATATTTTCCAGATTATTATGATTATTAATTTTGATAGTACGATAGACCATGTATGTGTATACACTTATTTTTTTCTGTTAATTAATGAAAATGCTGAAAATACTGTTGCTTACTGAACTGAATCACATCAAAGATTTCTGAGGAGGCAGAACTTTCTAAAAGTGCACTCATGTTGGATCTCTGTTGTAGTGGGTATCCTTTAGATATACTCAGCATTTTTGTTACCAAATCTCATGATGGGCTATTTAACTTCACCATAGCAGGGAAGTAGTGCCCCTTTATATGGAGCAAAGCATTGCAAAGCTGAGCTAAAAGTAGTAATTAGCTCTTAAAGTGTTAGTGTTTATGACTGTCACCATTTTTTTAATGTTTTATTTTAAATAATATTACAGCTGTTCCTAAGTTTTAGGGACAGGGTGAGTTTGGATAAAAATCCCAGTAAACATAGATCTGCTCTTATGTGATTGAAAGAAAGGGATAAACTACTCTACCCTCCTAAAAACCACCACCCCAAACACCAGTGCTGCTATATGTATAATTCCTAGGTTTTATCGTTATAGAATTATTCTGTCCTTCCTCAAAGGTATCATACATATCTTTACATTCCCCCTCCTAAAAAAAGAAACCGTCAAAAGTTGGGTTCAAATGTTATGATTAGCTGAAGGTCACATAATAAGCTTTCTGAATGATTGAGGATCTGAACCTGAGATTTCCTGTTCTAAGTCTACCACCTATGCTCTTCAGTAACTATGTTCCCATCTCATCTTATTAAGTCATAATGGATACCAGCCCACATATGTTGCCTCTGCTTGAGAGTGGATGTTGCTAATGATGCCTCTGTTACTGCTTAGCCAGATTTGGTGCCACTTGTAAACACAGAACTCTGCCTTTTTGTAAGTCCACGAGACTTCAGAAAATAACACCTTAGTTTGTCCGTGGCTTTATTTGGTGGCTTCTTCTGAGATGATAAAGTCATAGTCTTATATTAACACATTACACTATGATTGCTAACTTCCATATGGCTCATTAGCCACACTTGTTTGTGGGTGGAGTCAGTGGGAATGAATGAGTCTCTGTACTACTAAACCAGTTTTATATTTTGCTGTGTAAACTGGCTGTTTCTTTAAATGGATAGTATCTGTAATTAATACCGTCACTGAAAATTCATGACAAAATATACTTTTGCTGCTTTGTTGAATCTTAAAATATTTGTCATTTTCTTTTTCTTCTATTCAGCTTACAAATTTAAATATGATAAATGGAGCTGTTAATAAAGTAAGTGCAACTGCTTCCAATTATCGATCACCGCTCAACCCAGGAGGTTCATTTTGGGCTTTTCAAACACACAGCAGTACTACTGATACCAGACCTTCATCTTTAACACTCAGGTAAGAGAAACAGAATTAGACTGAAAATGCTAATGTGATATTTGGATATGTTTTAGAGACATCTCCATATGTCATATTAGCATTTTGCTCGTATAATGTCATGTGAGAATTGTGATTATTTGTTGACTGCTAACTTCTTGAAGAAGCTAGCAACGTAACTAGTGAAACATTAGCACATATAACTGTACATCAGCTCAGTTGATACCATCAGGAAGTAATTTCACCAATAAATAGCAGCCATAAAAACCTAGAGTTTCTGAATATTACTTTTTTATAAGACCATGGCTGAAGTAGATTAACTGATGTATGTAGGCAGTCTTTAATTCTTCACTGAATATGAGAATTATGTATTTATTTTTTGCTGATATTATGTAGTTGGTATTGATGTATTTTCCTCATTTTGAGGAAAATCTAGGCACTCAATGAAACAAATAATAGAACAAGAATCTTGCCTTTTGTTTTTGTCTTCAGTAGGCTATCTTGCTCAAAGAGCAGCCAATAGGACTAGGCATTCCTGTCTGAAGTTGATTTATCTGTCTACAAATGACATCCTTTCCTTGTAGTTTTGTGAACCTAAGCAGTTAAGTTCTGGAAACACTTCCCCTCTATCCATATGGAATACTATAGGGGAAATTAATCAATGTAAGAGAGCTAGCTTTGGTGAGTGGTAGTTATAGATGTTTGATTGTAGTTTGTTGCTAGGTAAATTTTCCAAAGATTCTTCTTATGTCTCTCTTGCTTTCCTCCACTGCAAATAGAAATTTTAAAACATGGTCATGTAAGGAAGAGATTTCTGAAAAACCCTGATCCCAGTGCCTTTAAGGATTTAAAAGCTGAAATCAGTATCTTGACTTAGACCCTGAAGTGTATCTGTAGCCCATGCAGCAGACAAAGAGGTATAATATGATCTGTCTAATACCAAAGGGTCCTGGAGGAAACGGATTATCTGGACCCTTATCAGTCAGGTTTCAGGCCCGGCTATGGAACGGAAACAGCATTGGTTGCACTTATGGATGATCTCTGGCAGGAGTGGGATGGTGGAAGTGCGACCATCCTTGCTCTCCTTAATCTCTCAGCAGCATTCGATACTGTCGACCATGGTATCCTATTGA